AGAGAGTGATTCCCTCATTTCTAACTATACTACTAGGAGACAGTATTTTGCTATACATTGGTTAAAAGAGTTATGGCTTATAGCAAAAAAACAAAAAGGGAATTTAAATCCGTTGTTGGGGGTATGGAAATCATGCTTTGAATGAATAGCAGGTAAAGGCCTATTTCTGCCTGTTTCCCATCCCTCTGGTGGTCTCTGTCATGACTGCATCACTTTTCCCACTGAGCTGGATATGAAAGGTTCCTGAAGCTGAAATAATGAACTTAATCCATCCTTTTCTAGCAGGTTTGCTGACTCCTGTTTCAGAAAAAGAATTTTCAGGATGTATCTAAGAGACATGTGAAGGGTTTACTAGAGAGAGATTTAGAACGCACTCAAGAAAAAAATACAGGTGCTCAGAGAAATGGGGCACATTACAAGTTGCAACTGAGCACAGTTATGCTTCTCTTGAAGGAGTGGAAAGCCTGGGAAGAGATGGCTCACCCCTCAGAACAGTACTAGCCGATTCTACAGGAATGGGCATTTTGGGGGGATAGGTAATTTAAACATTCTTTGGGTTTGCTCAACCTGCTTCTTTATCTTAGGATTAGGCTTCTGCTCCTTACTTTCCCAGTTAAGCCAAGTCATGGACTTTCAGTATTCCTGAGGAATTTTGGGTGTGATAGGTCTGGTAGGGAAGAAGTCTAAATTTAACCAAAGGAATGCTGATATGGATTGCCCTGGGTAACTTTGGCTGCATCCTGGAAGTTCCAGTCTTCTTAAAAGTACTATTGTTTGTTATGATTTCCCTTTCACCTTTATACCTTTTATTTCTTCTGTCACATCTCAGTTTCCAGATTGGTTTGTTCCAAAATGTTCTCAGGACTGCTTTCTTAAAGAAAGGAGAGTGGTTCAGAGAGACTGACAGCTTCTAGTTGATTATTCTACTCAGCAGAAGTTGAGCTAGATAACTGATATCCCCTATGGTTTATTACTTAGAGAGGTTGGAACAATTAAAAAGTTGCTTAGAAATTACCTAATAAGAGTCCATTTGAGGGCTTTCTAAATCTATGAGAAGGAATGGACAGTTTTGTCTTAATGCATTCACTTGTATCTGAGTAAACATTGTCCAGCCATGCTGTACTTTTTTCTAATTTCCTGAAAAAGCTGGGTCCATGTTTCCATGGCTAATAACCTCCTCAGTTCTGGAATGATGAAGCCAGGAGGCTGTGATATGGGATGAGTATTTCTCCCTTCAGTTCTGGGTCTTTCTAGGTCTTCTGAGCTTTGTCATTTTAAATACCCTTGACTAGCAGAGTTTTATAGTCTTCCAAGTAAATTCACATATGGGCATCCTTACTATCAAGCATAGTTTGCTTTTTGGTGACATGAGAATTTGGCTTAAAAATAACTCACTGGGGTCAGTGTAACAAAAGCCCCAGAAAACCTTTCAAAGATTTTAAAATAGCTTTCTGTTGTAGTGTAACTGGCTTCCTCCTGTGCTGTGCTATGGGTCCTTGCAAGAAGATCAAAGCAGCAAGCAGCAAGTGGTGGGGAACAACCCAGTATGTGTTTAATAAAAAGAACAGAAGGGAAAGCTCCCCACTTGTTCCATAAGGCTGACACCAGAGATGTCTAAGTCCATTGGCTTTTTATAGTTTTTGGTATAGGTGAACGTGACAGAAAGCAAGGATTCTCCCAGTTGCAGGTAGGCCTTTGATGTCCAGAAAGCTGGCAGCTTCATTTGCATTTCACTTCCTCCAAGGTCTCTCCCATTTGTTTAGGAACCTGTTCTTTGTCCTTTGCGTTCCTTTAGGCCCCTGATACTCAGTCTGCTTAAATTAATTATTCCAGGGCCCCTGGTATGTTAACTCACCTAAGCCCTAACTTTTAGTTTACTTTAGGTTAACTATTCAGGACCTGCGCCCTATCTGCCTAACTTCCTCTATCTTCTGGCTTCAGTAACGTATGTAACTGCAATTTCCAGCTATTAATCACAACTTTTGAGAGTTATTTTTCCTCTGTAAAAGAAAAAACCACTGTTTTGGGACATTAACATGTTTACCAGATGTTTTACATCTTATGGACAATGTAGAGGTAATTGTTAAAAGTTAGATGGATATGTAAGTAAAGCATCTGAGTTATTCATAATGAAGTTAAAATATTAAAGATATTGGCTAAGTATAAATCAATGAATTCTTTGCTTCTTACAATTTATAAATGATAATATATTTGAGTCTCTATATATATATGTATACAGATATCTATAAAACAGATATAAGATTAAAAGATATCTTGTCCTTTAAGAAGTTTCAAAGTAATTACTCTAGAGGGACAGTAAATATCTAAAAATGGAAACTTTTGTCAATTTACAGACCAAGTTAAAAATGAGCTTAAAGCTGGGCCTGGTGGTGTATACCTGTAATCCCAGCACTCTGAAAGCTGAGGCAGGAGGATCTCCTCCAGTTCAAGGTCAGCCTGTACTACATAGTGAGACTCTGTCTCAAAAAAACCAAAACAAAAACCACAACAAAAAAAGAGCTTTAAATAATGTCTCAAATGGACTGAGGGTTGTATCTGTTCATCATTTTAAGATATTCTAAAGTTAGTAATTTGTATTCAGACTCATTTAATATCCTAGTAGTAGTTGATTTTAAGAAAAAAAAATCTGCTTGAATGGTTAACAGACTTAACTGGTCTGTTAATGGATTTGTTATGTGGCTTAATCTGGGTCCATTAGTTCATCCACTTCTGCAATGGGTGAATTCCTGAATCAGTAGGCATCTCAGTGGGAGAGTTTGGAAATGATTCCCTACCCTATCAGCCAGTTCATAGTCATTGCTCCCTTATGCTTAATCACCCTAAGGGCTGAGAATTGTTTTCACCAGAAATAGTTTTTCCTTATTTCTAAATAAGTTTTTTCTTATTTCTAAAACTTTGCTTCTACCTTGTGATCCAAGTTTTTGTTCCTAATGTTCTTTGTACCTCCTTTAGATGGCTGTCCCCTCTTCCACAGCCCTTGGCTGGTCAGCTCTTAGAGAGCTGATTGTCACACCCATTGCAGGGATAGCTACTTTTTAAGCAGCTCTTTGTAAATGATGGGAGACTGCTATGCAAGTCTGCTATGGGAGTCTGTATTTAGGGTTTAAATACAAGGTGTCCCCCAAAGGCTTGTGTATTGACAGCTTGATCTCCAGGGTATCAGTGTTCAGAAGTGGGTCTTAAAGTGGTGACTGTATTATAGACAGCCAAGTTAGGTAAAGATATTACAGGCAGTCAGACAGGGCTAGGCCCTTGAGGGAGTCAGCAAAAAAGATGAGAACACATCACAACTGCGGCTAGAGGCACATCTGTTGAGGGCCAGGCCCCAAGATGAGCACTGGGTGACAGGGCCTGCATGCCTCCCCAAGGGATAAGCAATGGATTGGAGACTGTGCTCACCTGGTCCAGTGAAGTCTGGGTGGACATCGGTCACCCTGGTGGGTGGCCAGAACCCTCTGGTTTGTCTCTTCTTAAAAAGGTCCTTATTTGTTTCATGTACACTTGCTATGTGACCTGCTTCCCCATTAGATCAGTATTACCTAAGTGGCTATATTTATAATCTTACTGTTTGATCATAGTTTTGACCCACATTGTACCCACCTTGTGATTTTGTACCCACCTCATGATTTTGCTCTATAAAACTTCCTTTGATCGAAAGCACAAGGTCCCAAGTTTGATCCCCGGTACCCCCCCCACCAAAACCCCCCAAAACAAAAAAAACTTCCATTGAGAAGTGGGATTGTTGCCAACCCATTTTGTGGGTCCCCTCCTGTCTCTCAGGAGTTATCTCTTTCTTGATAAATATTTCCTACTCTTAAGGTACAAATCTCCAATGATGAATGTCATTATATTGTATACCTAAAATGAATCAATAACATTAATTTAAAAAATAAATATTTCCTACTATTAATTTCCATTGTTCCTTAGAACTCATTCTTCAGTTTTGGAGACATGAATTTGGCATATGTGGCATCTAGCAGGTTGAGAGTTACATTTATTTCCCCTGTATCAATTGGATCACCAGAGCTCTGACTTTTATCAGTGGATACATCCATTGGTGGATTAATAATTTGATGGTATTATAGGAAGTGACTTAGGAGGTAAGGCCTAGTTGAAGGGAGTGGGTCATCAGGATGTGACTTTGGAGCCCCTTCCCTCTGGCTCTTTCCCTCTCTCTCTCTTTGCTTTCTGGCTGCCTTGAGGTAAGCAGTCTTCCTCCACCACACTTTTCCACCGTGATATTTTTGCCTTGCCACAATGCAAAAGGAATGGAGCCAGCTGACCATGGACTAAAACTCTGAAACTGTGAGCCAAAATAAATCTTTCCTTCAAGTTGATTTATGTCTATTTTGTCACAGTGAACAGCTAACACGGTGTCCTTTCATATTTTTCCACTATTGACTGAAAATAGTTTTTCAAAAGCAATGTTAGAAGGCATTTTCGTTGATATAGCCTGAATCCAGTCACTGGGTATGAAGAGTGAAGGAGCATTTGGCTCATTTATAACTTCAAGTAAAATGAGCAGTTATTATTTAGGCTGGCAAATATGAGCCTGATACTTAGTGCTGCACACTGCCAGTCAGGATAGGAGGGCTTTAATTGGGGTGGGGAGGGCTTATTCTGTGGCAGTGACAGAACTAGGTTTGAGGACTTAGATAACTGTCTGTCTCTGGGGAGATGTGTTCTGGCCAAGTCACTAAATATATCAAAACTTCCATTTCAGTTACAAAATAAAGAAGTCTGGACTAGATGCCTGAGGGGCAGCATTCCAGCTCTGATATTCTCTGCTTCTGCCGAGGGAAATTAGTCTGTTGATATTACTGGATCCATCCAGTCCCTACAAGGTTTAGAATGCTAGCTCTTAATAAAGAGTAAATTGATACAAAGATAATCTTATCTAGAAATAATATTCTTATTATTAAAAGGGATTTTTTTAAAGTGTCCCATTCTCCATAAGAACAAGCTTAATGGCTGTTAGGTAATCATTTAAAAATATTTTATTAAGCACTGACTTAAAAATGCAAGAGAAGAATGTAACACCTCAGAGCAAATGCTGAAGGTAAGACATGTATCATTATAAATATTGCACTTATAAAATCTCTTTTTATACCTTCACACAACTCATAATATCCTTTTACAGAGATGTACAAATAAACTACTTTCAAGCTGTCAACACTTGATACTGCGCGTTTCCTATCACCGCACTAAGTCAGCAGGTTTTCAGCTCTCTGCTCTTCTCAGTGCAGGCTCAGAACTTGCATCAGGGCCATTGGAGGTCTCACACCTACATCATGTGAAGAGTAAAACAGTCCAGCCTTTCAAAACGCTCAATGTTAAATCATCTGGGCTTTTTTGCTACTTAGGGAAGACAGACCTTTCAAAAGCAACAACAGAATGCAGCTTAAATGGACACAGTTCACTGTTAACATTGCTTGTTTTTTAAAACATTCAAAAGCTTCTGATTCTTGGTCTTGAATATCATGACAAAGCTATTTGGCATGATCTTGCCTTGCCCATCTTCACCTACTTGGCCCATAATGATGTAATTTAGACCTAAAGAAAGAAAATATAAAATAAATATTTTTCTTTATGCATGTTCTCAGAAACAACTTAGACTATAACTCACCTCTGAATAAATTTTCTTTTCTTTAAATGATATAATCACACACTCATTCAACCTAAGATAAAATCACTAGGATTAACACTCTCTAGCAAAAGGCTAGATTCAACTAGTAACATACTCTATCTCTGCTAACGCAAGGAACCCGTGTGGAGCAGTCAGTCCCATTCACACATTTAATGGTCCCATTTCTGCACATGGTTTGGAAATCTTTAATTCTAGCCCAGAATATCACTTTCTCATCTCAAATTCAGCTCTGCATTTCCTCTGCGTGCTTCATGCTTTACTTTAAACACAGTATTGGCAACTGAAGTGCAATAATCTAAAATCTCTCTCCCACTTTGTATGCTCTGAGACTCATTCATTATTTCTAGCTTTTTTTTTTTTTTTGGCATTGGGGATTGAACCCAGGGCCTTTGTGCTGAGCTACATCCCCAGCCCTTTAAAATTTTCTATTTATTTTTAGACAGCGTCTTCCTAAGTCACTAAGTTGACCAGGCTGGGCTCAAACTCGTGATCCTCCTGTCTTATCCTCCCACAGTGTTGGGATTACAGGCATGCACCACCACACCTGGCTTCCATCACCTCTTTTTTGCATAAGACATAAGAACTAGGATACAGAATAATTTTGCCTGGCTCCAAAGTCTTCCTCTCTACCACATGGGCAATATATTAGCCCTGATTTCACTTCCCTCCACCAGCTAGGGCCTGGAAAGATCCATGACTTCCTCAGAGAGGCTCTTCTCTGGCTCTGTGTTTCCCCTGAAGAAAGAGCTTTTCTCCTTACCTCTTCTGAGGAGAGGGCACTGCTTGCAGACCACAGTAACCTTGGCGCTCATGTTCTTGCCAGCCTGCTGAATTGCCAGGTTTCCCTCTTTATAGATGTTGATGAGTGAGATTGTGGCTTGCAAACTCCCACCCCGAGGGGTGGTTGTGATAACAGCGCCAACTAATACTGCAGAGGAAAATGTGTGGATAATGCAACAGTGAAGCAAAGTTAAGCATAACTGAAAATCATTTTATCTTCTAGTTTTCAGAAACAAAACATTTTTTTTTTTTGGTACCAGGGATTGAAACTTGGGACCTTGCACTTGCGAGGCAGGTGCCGGAACCACTGAGCTAAATCCTTGGCCCCACAAAACATTTCAATGTTAAAAAAAAGGCCCTCACTGAACTCTTGAATTTGATTCTGTATATTTATCCCCAAAATTCTGGTTGAAAAAAAGGCTTAAGGAGTTGTAATATTACTCTGGCGTTAGTTGTTGATGACTCGAACAGAAAGCTAAATACTTGCCTCATTGGAGTTTGTTGCTGAGATAAGGACTCTTTAACATGTCCTATCCAACATATGGATCAGTCATCACTTATTTGAAGAAGTTTATGAGAATACTCAAGACTTGGAATCTTTAGAGGCAACACCATACTAAGAGGGTGAACCACAAGGATGTTTTTCTCTATGTGGCTGAGTGTCTCTCCAACTCCACTCTAGCTGTCCTCTCTTTTTGAGCTTTTGTTCACTGCAGGAGGAGGGGGACACATCTCTCTCTATTGATCAGAAAATCTGTCTTTCTCTGGGTTTTCTGTATCATTTTTCTTATTTACCCTGTTTATCTCATTTCAAAATATAGACCTGAAGTAAAACTCAAAAACATTTTCTTGTGTTAAAAAAAATTGGAAAATTCAGCTGATTTCCCTTATATACCCCCCACATTGTGACAAAGAGTATAGTTTTATGAGTCACACAGGGAAAAATGCTGTCTTTTTTGAGGGGGTGGGATGCTGTTCACATTTTAGGATGTTGAGGGGGACAATTCCTTTTGGTGTAGGGCTTGCACTGAATGAGTTTTTTTTTTTGAACAGCTGTGTCCCTGTCAAATAAAAAATCATTATAACTTCCCAGTTATTGGGACAACTAAAAACTGCCCCCAAGGAGTGTTACTAACTCTGGGCCATTGATGATAGCATTTGGCCACTATGCCATGTAAATGAAGCGCAATTAATGGGAGAGATCAAGTTTTGGACTCATCTAACATGACCCCTTCCAGATAAAATGAGCACTCACGGCTTATGTAGCGTGCTGAGCTCTTAACATCTGAATTCTTACTGTGTCTTACTCTGATTCCTGGTGATGAATGTTCACTGCAAAATGTCAGTCTGTAGCCAGGCGAAATCAGGAGGCTCCCAAAGGCACAGTGGGGGGATTTCCTGAACCAGCTGCTATAGCAGGCTAACCTGGATATGGTAGCAATGACACCTGGCACTATTTGTTTTCATTTTTATGCCAGTTATTTGAATTTCAGCATGTAAACTGCAGTAAAATTTAGGTCTCTGGACTCCAGTGACTTTGCATTTTCAATATAAGACAGCCTACTGGGCTGCCAAACAATTACCACTTTAAGGCACCCCAAAAGCAAAGAACTCTCTGGGGGACACCCTTTGTTTTGGGTAAGTTGCTTTGGCAACTTTCTTTTTCTGAGAAGACTTCTACCTAAATGTTAATATTAAGCTGCTTTTAAAATTAACATAACCAAATTTAGTATCTTTTGCTCTTAAGCGGTTTTCACAGACTGAAATCTTTTAATTTCATTAAGTATGATCTCCTCTGGTTCTAATTTCTAAGAGTTTCTAAAATGGACTTCAGATTTCCAGGTTTAAATTTAGTACTCTGGAAAAACACCAAAGAGGAAATGCTTGAATTTCTTGAGAGAGACCAGCTTCTGAGTGTAAGCTTGGCTATATTTCTAATGTACTTCGCCTGGATTACAGATGTGTGAAAAAAACACTTGGAACATGAAAGAAATGTGAGGAACAAACGATATATGTATTTTCAGGAATAGTTAACAGGCTAGAGTAGCAGTATCATGGATCAAGAATCAAATTATTAAACTTATGTGAAAAAAGCAAATTTTCTGAATACTTATTTTTCTCACCTATGAAATCTAATAGTTTGAATAGCACAACACAACCTAGTTTATGTTTTCTTGGGTAAATGAACAGTGTTATTGACTCATCACCATTAAATTCGAGGGAATTCCTTTGAGACTAAGAAGGCAGTCTCAAGTTTCTGATTAAAGAGAAAAGCCTGGTTTTATTTCTTACCAAAGTTGCTTGAACAATAATTGCTCTCCAGAGTCCCTGTCCGTCTACACTTTTGTTGACAGAGGGCCACAGTTGGTTTTAAACCTTGATTCAAAGAAGACATGAGTCAGGAAAATGAAGTAAAGTATACTTGGTGTTTTCATCTGAATTTATCCATATGAAATTATCATTTATTTCCCTGAGCCACAAATTAGTCACTGCAATGAAATAATTATAAATTACACAAAAGAAACTCTTTATTCTAGCAACTAGTGCTCTAATTTCCTCAGGGCAACTCATTACCCACTACTGAATTTTAAACCTGAGACCAAAGATAATCCAAATTTAGCTGTTATCTTTTTCTTTTATATAAAACTAACACTAACCAAAAACACTGTCTTTGTGTGTTCTGCTTAGAAAAATCCAGTACAACAAATCTGAACCATAAAATACGTGTCAATTCTTCACTTTACAAGGGGAATCATATGGTGTTCCCCTGAGGCTAGAAGGAGTTTTCTTGGTGCATTTAAAATATGCAACTGTCTAAATATGAGTAGTACAGGGTTTTAGAAATGCTTCTCACATGTAAAGTGTTATATCTGTAACTGGATGCAAGCACTCACTAAATATTTACTTTGAGCCTGGCCCTGGCTAAAAGGATCTTAAGAACTGAGACATAGACAAACTTAGAAATAAAGGGAAATAGATAAACACAAAGGCTCTCAACGGGAGGCAACTTTGCCCTCTAGGTGACATATAGCAATATCTATAAACATTCTGGCTTTCATAGGCAGGGGGTGCTGGTGAAATCTAGTGAATAGATACCAGGGATATTGCTAAACATCATACAGTGAAGAGAACAACAAATAATTATCTGGCCCCAAATGGAAATAGTGCCAAGGTTGAGAAACCATACATTAGCAAAATGAAAACACATAAATCCCATTATCATCTTTAGAATGTTTTAAAAATATTTGCTAATTATTGGCTTATGTTCAGTAATAGGCTAGGAGGAATAAAACAAAACAACAAACTTTTCACTTGGCTAAGCATCTGCAATTGTAACACTGCTCTTCTAATATTTCTGCAGATTCCTTCATGAATGCATTATTTGTTTTTAATTTGGACCCTGATGGAAAACAGAAAGCATCACCGATGAAAGAGAGGATCCTTTTGCATGGACAATGGGGGACCTGCTCCTGCTCATGTGGGAGGTAGGTGGATGTCCTACACCGCTGCTTTTGCCCTCTGGTGCATTTGTTTTCTGGCTTTTAAGTCAATGCTATGACACATTATCCACCTCCTCTTCCTGTCATCTCTCTACTGCCCTGCATGCACACCCTTGGCCCTGGTTCCTCAGCCTCCCCTCTGTGTGTTCCTACAACTGTCTCAGTGGGTCAACTCTCCTCGTGGATGAACCTTCAGTCTCATGGCTTCATCCTCAACAGGGCCTTTCCCTCTCCTCCAACTCAGATACTCAGACACAGGCTCATATGTCCTAGCACTAAAGTCATTCACTGCCAGTCTTCAGGCATCCTAGTACCCAGTACAGCCTCCTCTCCTTCGAGGTTATTTATTTCATAATAGCAAATGCTTTCCCCCTCTATTTTTGGAGGTTCAGTACACTGACCTCTCTCATTTTCCCCAATCCATTAACCCTGGCCTGCCCTTATTTGCTTAGCGGTTCCATTTGGTTTCCACATTCCATTACTTCAGTCATTTTCTTGACAATCAGTATCTTAAGCTCCTGTGCCACATATGAATCCTGCAGGAGAATGCATGATTTCTGGGCCTGCACTCCGACAGCTGAGTACACACAGACCTTCAGCAAATGACAGTGCCTGACTCTTCCATTTCCACAACTGTTTCCCAAATTTGTTCTCATTATCCCAACCTCCAGTACTGCCACTTTCCTTCCCATTCGTTCTCAGCAGGTGTCCTTGCCTATTTTCCACAGAGAACAGAAGCCACAGCAGAAAATGTCCTCAAGATTCCCACTGAATCTCCAACTTGTCTTTATTTGTGTCCTCTCTCTTCCTCTACTACTCTGACAGAGGAGGTCGCTCTCTGGTCTGTCATCGCTTTTGCAAGTCCCCTGGAGCCAGCCTCTCCCACCTTTCTTAAATCTTTCTTCTCAGTTTATCCCATTTACTTGCCATTATATTCTCCTTCTGTGCTGCTATTTCCCATCAACAGTAACATATTCAGCCGCCAAAGCCTCTTCCCTCCTTTTGGGCAAGCCTGTGGAATGAGTCGCTGGAACTTACTATCTCAATTTCTTTCCCTTGTTCAACATACTCCTCAGCCCACTCTGGTTTCTGCCTGCATAATATCACTTACAAAGCCTCCACTCACAAAATCAAATGGAAATATGTAGCCTTCCCCTTCTTTGAAGTCTCATCCACATGTGAATTTGCTCATCATATCTTTCTTCCCCTTCTCCTTTTTGAGACATGGTCTGACTAAATTGTTAAGTTGCTCAGGCTGAGCTCAAATTTATGATCCTCCAGCCTCAACCTCCCAGAATACTGGGATTAGAGTGATGTGCCTGCTATTCCCCTCTTAAAAGCATTTTCTTTGATGCCATGTGCTTCGCTTTTCTTTGTTCCTTCTCAGCCACACCTTTTCAGTCTCCTTTGCCAGCACATCCTCCTCTGTTAAAAGTTGTTTCTAAAGGTTTAATCCCAGCTTCTCTTTCTTTTGCAACCTCTCCCTAGACAATCTTATTCTCAATTATGGCTTCAACTATCTCTATGTTAATGGCTCATTTATTTTATTTTATTTTATTTTTTGGTACCAGGGATTGAACTCGGGTCCTTCCGCTTGCAAGGCAGGCGGCGGAACCACTGAGGTAAATCCCGGGCCCAGCTCATTTATTTTTTAAATTAATGTGTTTCATTTTGGGAGATTTACACGTGCATATAACATAGTTCAATCATTTTCATTTCCCATCACTCCTGTTACCTGGCTCTTCCCACCTACTTTCACATTTTAGGGGTTTCAATGTATGTATTTTGCTCATATCATCCCCTCATTGCCTGTCCTTATACCCCTTCCTCCCTCTTATGCCCTTCTTCTTGTCTAATAGTAGTCTCCCTTCTATTTTCTTGTCATCCTTTTTAGATTCCACATATTAGGAAGACCACGTGATATTTGAATTCAGTATTGAACTGAGTCTAGCTTATTTCACTCAACATGATGATCTCCAGATCCACCCATTTTCTTGCAAATGGCAGAATTTCATTCTTCTTTGTACAACAGGCTAAATAATACTCCATCCTATATACACCACATTTTCTTTATCCTTTCATCTGTTGATGGGCATCTGGTCTGTTCCTATATCCTGAGTATTTTTGAACTGTGCTGCAATAAACATGGGTGTGCTCTAGCTAAAATTTCAAGAACTATATTGAATAAAAGGGTGAGAGTGAACATCCTTGCCTCATTCCTGAGGCTCTTAAATTCAAATCTGTTGCTTAAATCTGTCTCTCTAGTATGGAGACCCATATGTCTGACTGTATGACTTGGACATCTCACAGACACCTCAAACCCAACAAGGCCACAGTTTAATTTGTGATATCTCCCCTCAAGCCCAGCTCTCTGCTTCAGTGAACAGTAACTTTCCCCCCAGTTGTGCATTTCAGGGGCCTGGGAAGCATTCTTGACACCAGCCTGGTCTCCCTGGTCCCATTGAACACCAAAGCCTGTCACCACCTCCCACTCCTCTCTTGACTATCTCTATATTTGTGTCACAGCACAGTTGACCTGGACAACCAAAGAACCTGCTCATCAAGTGATCCCTAGAGTCCATTCACCTCACAGTGACTAGCATGATTTTTTTAAAGTACAAATACAATCATAAATTTTGCTTGAATTTATCAAAATTTCCCCTACACTTGGCTAATAACCGAAATACTCAGAGCATATGGAGAGAGGTGGCAGGGCCTGAAGATGAAGCCTGTAAAGGCTACAAAGGCAGACAAAGAGTGAAGGGTCTTATATACTATGGGAGGGGTATAGGGTACCTGGCCTGTCCAGCATGGTAGTCACTAGTCACCTGAAATCTTTAAATTTAAATGAACTGAAACTAAAAATTTAGTTGTTGCATCACTGGCTACATTTCATTTTGTGGCAGCCACTAATAGCAGTTGCTATAAATCAATGGATAACACAGATGTAGGCAATGAATTTAATGGCAGAATGCCATGGCCCACCTTCTCTGCATATGTGGTGGTGACAGCGGCTGGTGACAGGTAAGAGGGAGGAAGGCAAAGATGACCCAAGGAGTGTGACTACAGATGCTGAGGGCACGCTTGGGAAAACAGATGTAGAGGCAGGTTTGAGGCAGAAAACAGTGTGATAAAGTAAGTTGAATTTGATATGTTTTCATTTAAATGTCTAGCAGTCACAAAATATCCAGGAAATAATTACAAATCCACGTTTTCAATTTCAGAGAAAGTTTAGGATCAAGATACAAGTCGGGAAACCACCGGTACCATGGAGTTGACCAGGCAATTCACGTGCAAGAAAAACAGCGCCAGTCCCACGGAGATGAGCTGAGAAGTAGGGCGGTAACACGAGGCAGTGCACATCCAGGCCACAAGGTGGCCCACTTGTAGAGGGCTGGGAAAGACCTGCCCTTCCGGGCCTGCCTTCCCGTCTTGCAACACCCCTAATCTGGGTGGAAGCACAGAACCGTGGGCAATAAAGCTGGGCTCATTCCAGCCTGTTTCAACCTCAGATCTAGCCGCTCTTCTTCCTCCCTGCATTTGTATTTTTAATCTGAGTCTTGAAGTCCCAGTGAGTGGAGCAGAAAGGAAGCTGAGAAGACCCACTCCTGCCTCTATCTTTTAGTTTCCCAACCAGCTTCTGTAATATGTTGGAATGTTTTTGTTTGATTTACTCCAGTTTGAAAGGATGTATTTTGTATGGCATTTTGGCATAGAACTTTAACCTAAAATACCACAATTATATATTTTTTCCCTTAAATTCTTTTATTGGTACATTTTAGGTTTACAATACATTTACATTTATCATTGGGTACTTGTACCTGTACATGATGTATCTTGGTTCTTATTTTTTCCCCATTACCTGTGATCCCTTCCTCCCCTCCACCCTTCCCTATTTACAAAAAGTTTGTTTCCATTTTTTTCCTTTTCTCATAATTTTTCCTTTCCCTTCTTTCCTTTCCCCTTCCCCTCCCACTTCCCCTGCCCCTTTGGACCTTTTCCTA